TTGAATACACTAGTACTTCCAATGAAATTATGTTCATGGCCAAAACTATATGAAATAATATCAATATAATAAATATTGATTGAACAAAACCTTGTTAGAATGTTTGGAGGCTTGGATAGCTCTTCATATACATCCGCAAGTCTCTCAAGGGTCAGTCCTTTCTTCAGGTTTATCTTTTTTTTCTTGGGATAAACAATGTAACTAATGCCAGCTTGTCTAGAAGCTTCAATGAGAGAGAGAGACAGATCTCTTAAACTGTGTTTCTCCTGAAAATGTTGTAAGATGGTATCTATACTTTCTTTTACACTGATGGATATTTCAGCCTTATTTTTCTCTGCCATCAGGCGCTCCAGCTCCTTTGCTTTCTGAAACATCACCCTTTTTATATTGCTTTGGGTGTCATCAAAGATGAGTAAGGGAGCCATGGCCTCCTTCTTCATCAATTCAACTGCAGATTTAGCTTTCTTTTAAGGAAATAAGGAAATAAAACATATGAAATCACTTTAGTTTTATTTTAAATTAATTCATTTACAAAATTACTGTTATTACTATCACTTTATTGGAGCATTTTTAAATCACTCATTAAGATTATTTAAAAAGTCAGCTTATAAAGTGAATGGATTATTTGAATCAAAGCATTATGTTTGAATTTATCATATGACATTTCATTGAGAACATAAAAACCACACTATAAAGTTTACATGAATTAACCATGATTTTCTATATTCTTAACTGAAAGAGAATGGGCTGTAAATATTCAAAAACAGTACATGCTTGTGTACTTATGCTGTGAGTTATTTGTTATAGCTTTCAAATGGCCCACAAGCCACATATGAACTACTCTGGCCACACAAGCAAGGGTGCTGGAGAATCTAGCGCCACATCTACTCAAAGACGATTCCTGAGGCAGAGGTCATACATGTGTCAAACCTACATCCCCCTTATCTTATTCATGGTATTTTCAATATTCTTCCCTTACGTAGTTCTAATGCGTTACTTCTTCTTTGGTCTTTCTTATTCCATGTTCAACTTTCACAGGCATATGAGGCAGTTGAAAATGCCATGGTTCCATCCACTCCTCGGTTGTCTGTCCCCCAGGGAGGAGGTCACACACAGTTCCATGTAATCGGTTCCCTCTTTCCTACCCATTCTCCCTTTACCCTCCCTGTTTTGCCACTCACACCACTGGTCCTGTAGGACTCATCCGTCCTGGATTCCCTGTATTTTCAGTTCCTATCTGTACCAGTGTACCTCCTCTGGTCTAGCCAGACTTGCAAGATAGAATTCGAGTCATGGTAGTGGGAGCGGGGAGGAAACCTTTAGGAACTAGAGGAAAGTTGTATTTCTCATCATTGTTACATTGCACCCTGACTGGCTTGTCTCCTCGCCTCCAGTGGCCTACTAATGGGCTTTGGATCTCCACTCCGCACTCCCCCCATCATTCACTATGGTAAGATTTTTTGTTCTGATGATGCCTTACACCTGATCCGTTCGACACCTCGTGGTTGCATAGGCTGGTGTGGTGCAGCAGATTCTTGACTGCTGCCTACATAAATATGGACTGTGGAACCAAGTAAAATGAAAAATTTGGTAAATTAAATCTTTTCTCTGTCTATCATGATGTGATCTATTGGTTCAATTTGGAAGATTTTTGTTTACTTGGAGTTGCAAGGCTGCAGTCTTCATTAGCAAACACTTCAACTCTTCACTTTCAGCAAGCAAGGTTGTGTTGTCTGCATCTAGAAGGTTGTTAAAGAGCTTTACTCCAATCCCGACACTCTATTTCCCTTCATATGACCCAGTTTCTCAGATTATTTGCTCAGCATACAGATTGGATAAAATTGGTGGAAGTATACAATCCTAACACACACCTTTTCTGAGTTTAAACTATGTTGTATCCCCTTGTAGTGTATGAATAACTACAACTTGGTCTGTGTACAGATTCTACATGAGCATAATTAAGTGTTCTGGTACTTCATTCTTTGCAATGTTATCCATAGTTTGTTATAATATACACAGTTGAATACCTTTGCATAGTCAATAAAACACAAGAAATAACTTTCTGGTATTCTCTACTTTCAATCAAGATCTATCTGAGATCAGTAATGATATCCCTGCTCCATATCCTCTTCTAAATCCAGCTTGAATTTCTGGCAGGTCCCTATCAATGTATTTCTGCAACCATTTTTAAATTCAGGGGAAAAATTACTTGCATATGCTATTAAAGATATTGTGCAATGATCTCTACATTCTGCTGGGTCACCTTTCTTTGGAATCGACACAGATATGAATCTCTTCCCAACGATTGGCCAGGTATCTCTTCCAAATTCCTTGGCATAGACTCGTGAGTCCTTCCAGTGTTTCGGTAGATTATTTAAGCATCTCAGTTGGTATTCAGTCATTTCCAGGAGCCTTGTTTTCCACTGATGTCTTCAGTGCAGCTTGGATTTCTTCCTTCAGTACCATCAGTTCTTGATCATATGCTAGTACTTGAACTGGTGAGTTTCTTTTGGTATGGTGACTCTATTTTCCTTCTATGTTCTTTTGATGTTAAAAGGAGCCCTGGTGGCATAATGGGTTACACCTTGGGCTGCTAATCGTAAGGTCAGCAGTTGGAAACCACTGATTCACTCCTCAGGAGCAAGATGAGGCTTTCTACTCCATAAAAATTTGCAGTCCCAGAAACCCATGTAGGCATGTCTGCTCTGACCTATAGGGTCGCAATGAGTTGGAATCGACTAGATGGTAGTGAGTTTGAGTGACATTCAATACTTTGCCCGTGACATCTTTCAATACTGCAACTGGAGACTTGCATTTTTCTTCAGTTTTTCAGCATGAGATAGATAAGGTGAACATGTTCTTCCTTTTGGTTTTTCTAATAAGAGGCCTTTGCTCGTTTCATTATAATTCTTTTCCCTTTGAAATGTTTTGTTCAGCTCTTTTACTTGATCATTTATTTCATTTGTTTTAGCTACTCTGTGTTCAAGAGCTGGTTTCAGAGTTTCGTCTGACATTGACTTTGCTTTTCTTTCTGTTTGCCTCTTAGTGGCTCTTTGCTTTCTTTCTGTGTAACGTTCTTGATATTATCTTCAGGCCTTCAGTGCAGCACATCTCTTCATGAGATGTTCTCTAAATTCAAGTAGGATATAAACAAAGTGCAAATTTGGCTTCATGGTCCTGCTTTAATTTTCTGCAGCTTCAACATGGACTTGAATATAAACAATTGATGATTTGTTTCACAGTCACCACTGACCTTGCTTGGGCTGATGATATTGAGTTTCTCCATTGTATTTCCTCACAGATGTAGTTAATTTTATTCCTGTGGGTTCCATCTGGTGAGGTCTTCATGTATAGTCAACATGTACTTTGTTTGAAGAGAGTTTTGACAATGAAGAAGTGATTCATGTGATGCTATCCTCTTGAATTTGCCATTCTCAGCATAGTAAGCTATATTACTGTTTCATTAAAAACAGCCAATATCAGTTCATTTCAGGTCATTAATGTCTAGGAGAGGGGTCCTCAAACGTTTTAAACAGGGGGCCAGTTCACTGTCCCTCACACCCGTTGGAGGGCTGGACTATAGTTTTTTTTTAAAAACTATGAGCAAATTCCTATGCACACTGCACATATCTTATTTGAAGTAAAAAACAAAACGAGGCAAAAACACCTGGCGGTCTGGATAAACATCCTTGGCGGGCCGCATGTGGCCCACGGGCCATAGTTTGAGAACCCCTGGTAGGATATCATTCTTTATGCATTCCACTTAAATTTTTTATTTCCAATTTTCCTAGATTTATATTTTATATATTATGCATTCCAATTATGAATGTTTGTAATTGCTTCTTCTCATTTAGAGTCATCCCTCATCAACAAAGGAACATCCACAAGCTTTGCTCCATCTGCATCACTGACGTTGACTCTACTTTGAGGAAGCAGCTCTCCCGGTCCTGTTTTGAGTACCTTCAAAGCTGAAGAGCTTCTCTTCTGGCAGCATGACAGTGCTCCCCTGCTAGTCATAAAGTTTTCAGTAGCTAATTTTTTCAGAAGTAGACCACCCCTTTCTGAGTTTTTGTCAATTAGTATGGCCTTTCCATCCATAATTCCTTATCTGATATATTATAACTCTGGCCTCTGAATGCCTGTAGCTATATTCCCATTTTGGAGGGCATTCTCTACGTTACTAGTGGACAGGATATGGTGGCATTAAGAGATGACCTCAGTAGAGAGTGTGATGATATTGTTACCTTGTTACCTTGGGGACCTCTCTGACATTATCTTAGTAGTGGGTGGGATTTAAGGCACCATCTTTTATTTTCCTTGATGGGGTAAATATATTGGTACCACCAGACTGTTCTAACACACATTGCATCACCTGGAAAACTAGACTTCTCTTTCCTGATGGAGCTTTGGTAGAGGCCCTGTTGTGACTTTTGGTCATTTTTGGTTCTGTCTCTGGACTCTGTCTCTGGCCTCTGCAGTTAGCTCTCCTTTGCCTGACTGAACAGCACCCAACAGGGAGACATTTTCTCAACAGTGCGTTTCTGTGGGACACTGCAGAGAATTGAAGAACCCAGGGACAAGAGGGAATATACTCAAGGAAGAATGAGGGGGAACGGAACGGAATAGCATCTAGGAAGAATTGGACATTTAGGACATTTTTAATTGATAATTCCTTGGGACTAGCTTGGTATTAATTCTTATAAAAGTAATAATCACCACACTTCATTCTTCCTTGTCTGATAATAGTAGGGAACCTCCACAGAAACGTGCTCACCAAGAGTGACTGTGCTGGTAATTAAAATACCCGTGGCATAGCTTCCAGCATCACAGCAATATGGAAGTTGCCTCAAGGCAAATACAAACCTAAATTTAAGTTGTTACCACCTCAGGATGAATCATCTCACTATACTATTTTAGAAAATCAATCAAAAGAGTGATTATTATTATTGCTAAAAACACAAACATTTCTTTTGGATAAAAAAAACTGAACATTTTAATACCTTTGAGTGTGATAATCGTGGGCTGCTTACACATTGTTGGATGTCCTGATATGACATAGAAGTTGTTAGCAATGAAGACTGTAAAATAAATAAAATGATAAAACATTTTGGCAAACTAATATCAACAGAACTGGCTAATGATAACCACATAGATTAGTTAAATAAAATATAAAAATCCTCATTGAGATGTAAGTTCTTACTGACTTTGAATGTCATTAACTAGATAGAAGCAAATATTAAAATCCATCCATTAATTTAGAAAAACCTATATTAATGGAAATAGGCAGGAATGCCCTACCAGAACCTGAGATAAATACTGACCTCTAGACAGTGACCTCAAATCATGAGAAATCTCAATTTTGAGTTCCAGAAGACCACACAAATATTAACATTTCCTATGAGAGCTAATATACTACGAGTTGGGAGGTACTACTATGTGGAAAGAGTAGAAGATATAAAGGAAAATGCAATCTTCCATGCCTTCAAAGAGTATAAAGGCAGAAACATACTTAAGGAATATAATGCAAATTATCTATGGAAAATATACATCATGCTTCATAAGTGGGGGGAGGGTAGTGAAAAAGAGGAAGGCCATCAACAAGAGAGATTGACAGAGTGGCTGCAATAATGCACTCAGACTTGGGAACATTGGTGAGACTCGCCCAGGCCATACTGTTTCATTCTGCTGTGCATAGGTTCACTGTGGGGCTGAACTGACTGGATGGCACTAAACAACGATAAAATGGCATGAATCAGGGAAAAGGAAAATTTGGAGGGATAAGGTAAATTTTTTTTCTTAATATTAACTTCCCTTTCCATAATTCATACAAACTTTGTTTCTTTTTGCTGGGTCCCCACCCCCATCCATCCCTTCTCCCTGTCCCCACACCGTCTCTGGACTCCTCATAATTACCGAAGTTCTCTCTGTCGGTGTATATTAATACGGTTGTATGATCGATTGAGCTTGTCAAACAAAATCTTCTCGAGTGTTGTTCATGCTTATGGTGTCTAAGAGAGTTATCATTGGTTTTTAATGATGCACACAACTCCATAGTATGAATACCAGAGTTTGTTTATCCATTCTTCTATAGTTTGGTTTTTTGGTTGTTTTCATGTTTAAGCTATTATGGAAACTGCTGCAATATACATAAGTATACACATATGCTGCATTCCTAATTTCTTTTGGGTATATGCTCAATAGAGAGGTTACTGGGTCACAAGGTACTTGTATTTGCATTTGTGTAGGAAGTGCCATACAAATTTCCATAAGGGTTGTGCAATTCTACAATCCCACCAGCAATGTAAAAATGCTTATACTATACTTGAGTATAAGCTGACCCAAATATCAGCCAAGGCACCTAATTTTACAACAAAAACTGCATAAAAAATGTGCTGAAAATCTTGGCTTATACATGAGTACATACAGTATCTCTCCACATAGTCTCTAGTATTTGTTACTTTCTGTTAGGATGAAGTCCATTTCGAAAGAAGGAAACCTAGATAGACCAGGTGGAAAGGTGGCATTAGAGTTGGCCTATAAAAGAATGCTTTTGTTTGTTTGTTTGCAGTAATATTCATAGACTTGGAAGGGGTTAAGAACACCTCACCCAAGTGAACAGCATGACAAGCATAAAGAAGTATCAGCTCTTTTCAGTTCTTTTCCCACTTCCTTAGGGGGTTAACTGTTTTCCTCTTTTTGCAGGTCATGATGGTGTTGTAGATTTTAGTAATGAGCCCTTTGTCCGATATGTCATTACTAAAAATCCTCTCCCAGTCCATGGGTTGTCTTGTCACCCTCTTGGTGAAGTCTTTAGAGGTGCACAGGTGCTTTATTCTTATTAAATACCATTTGTCGATTTCCAGTTCACCTGCGTGTGTACCCTTCCCTATTGCAGTGAGCTTCTGAGTTCCCTGGGCCACTGCTCTGAGGTTAGTCCCAGATCCCTCCTTGATGGTCCTGATGGTTTGGGGTTTAACTTCTAGGTCTGTGATCCCCTTTGAGCTTATTCTTGTGCATGGGGTGAGGTAAACGTCTTGTTTCATCTTTCTACATGTGGATTTCCATTGTTTCCAGCACCAACTTGTTAAAAAGGGCATCCGCTTCCCACTTGATGATTTTGGGACCCTTGTCAAAGATCAGTTGTCTATATGCTGATGGTTTTATTTTTGGGCTTTCTATTCTTTTCCACTGGTCTGAGTGTCTGTTGTTGTGTCACTACCACACTGTTTTGACCACTGTAGCTGTGTAATAGGCATTAAAATCTGGTAAGACGAGTCCTCCAACTGTGTCCTTCTTCTTGAGGAGTTCTCTGCTAATTCTGGGTTTCTTCCCTCTCCATATAAAATTGGTGGTCAGTTTTTCCAATTCTTTGAAGAAGGTTGATGGTATTTAAATTGGTATAGCATTGAACTTGTAAAGTGCTTTAGGTAGGATTGTCATCTTTACTATGTTAAGGCTACCAATCCACGATCAGGGGATTTTCTTCCATTTGTGGAGGTTGCTTTTGGTTTCCTGTAGTAGGGTCTTATAGTTTTCCTTGTATAGGTCTTTAGTATTTTTTGTTAAATATATTCCTTGTATAGGTCTTTAGTATTTTTTGTTAAATATATTCCTAGGTATTTCAGTTTGTTCTTAGCTACTGTGAAGGGTACTTCCTTCTTAATCCCCTCTTCCATGGTCCTGTCCAATGTGTATAGAAAACTTACCAACTTCTGTTTATTGATCTTGTATCCTGCCACTCTTCCATATTCCTCTATCACTGTAAGTACTCCAGCTGTGGAGCTTTTGGGGTTTTCAATGTATAGGATCATGTCATCTGCAAATAGCGATAGTTTCACCTCCTCCTCTCCCATTTGGATCCCTTTGATGTCCTTCTGCTGTCTTATGTTGTTAGCCAGAACCTCCAAAACAATATTGAAGGGAAGTGGGGACAGGGGGCATCCTTCTCTTGTACCCTTTTTCAGTGGGATTATTTTTGTCTTTTCTCCATTGACTATGATGTTGGCCGTTGGCCTTTCATACATAGCTTGTATCAGCTTGAGGAACTTACCTTCCAATGCTATCTTCGTGAGTGTCTTGACTAGGAATGGGTGGTGGATGTTGTCAAATGCTTTTTCTGCATCTATGGATATTATCATATGGTTTTTATCCTTTTTCTTCTCGATGTGGTGTATAATATTGATGGATTTGCAGATGTTAAACCATCCCTGCATCCCTGGGATGAATCCTACCTGGTCGTGGTGGATGATATGTTTTATATACTGTTGTGTTCTATTGGCCAATATTTTGTTAAGGATTTTTGCATCTATGTTCATTAGAGATATTGGTCTGTAATTCTCTATACCTGTGGGGTCTTTAACCTGTTTGGGTATCAAAGTAATGCTGTCTTCGTAAAATGAGTTTGGGAGTTTGCCATCCTCTTCTATGTTATAGAATACTTTGTGGAGAATCGGTGTCAACTCTTCCCTGAATACTTGGTAGAATTCTGCTGTGAAGCCATCTGGCCCTGGGGCTTTTTTAACCCCCTAAGGAAGTGGGCAAAAGAACTGAAAAGAGCTTTCACTAGGGAGGAGACCCTGATGGTCAATAAGCATATGAGAGTGTTCCAGGTCATTAGCCGTAAGAGAAATGCAAATCAAAACAGCCATGAGATACCACCTAACACCCTTGAGGCTAGTGCAAATCGGAGAGCAACAAGTGTTGGAGGGGCTGTGGTGAAGTAGGAACACTCCTCCACTGCTGGTGGTCGTGTAGATTTGTACAGCCACTGTGGAAAGCAATCTGGAGATACTTAAAGAAAATGGAAACTGATCTACCTTGTGACCCAGCCATCCCTCTACTGGGCATATACCCGGTGGAAGCAACAAATAAAACACGACCAGTCATCTGCGCTCCAATGTTTATTGCGGCACAATTCACAATCGCAAAGACTTGGAAACAGCCTAAGTTTCCATCGATAGATGAGTGGATTAGTAAACTTTGGCACATACACACAATGGGGTACTATGTAGCACTGAAAAGTGTGGGCAATCACATGAAACATGTAGCTTCATGGAAAGAGCTGGAAGGAATCATGTTAAGCGAGGTAAGCCAAACTCAAAAGGACAGGTATAACATGAGTCCCCTGAGGTAAGTACAATCAGCACGCCAGGAATAGAAGAATAAACACCAATCTTGCAATAAACAGGTGGATGCATAGACAGTTGGAGGGAGGGCAGGCCACACCTAGGGAGGTACATGAGAAGTCCAACATAAAGAAGAGGAAGGGGTGCAGGTGGAGGGAGAAGCGGGGTGGGGAGAAAACGAGTTGATGGCACGGGGAACAGGGCACTAACCCACCCAGGGGAAGAGAATTGGTTGTGACCCCACAGAACTGGAACGTGCATACAGGCCCCACCAGGATATGCCAAACCAGGAGGGCAATGTAACACACGGAGGAATCCACAAAGAGACTGGACCATACACTGGCCCTAACCAGAATTAGCCCGAGCCCCACCACGGAAGGGAGTACCACAGAAAATGGAAATAGATCGTCTGGTGTGAGAAAGAAACTGACCTACCACACCACACCAGAAGGAAGCTGAAGCAAAGGAAGGAGGAAGAACGGAGCGGAGCACACCTGGGCCCACCAAGCTCAGTGGACGATAGCCCAGCTCAGAGGGCCCAATGCACAGAGAGGACGGTATAGCCTGCCCCACAGCGAGATGCAACATCCTGCACTGACCCATGGCCCTACACGGGACAGCACCGGAGACACCGTGTGGAATGTTCGACTGAACTGACCCCACCACACTGAGACAAAACACTGGGGGCGTGCAATGGAGCGCCAGGGTAAACAGAGCAAGGAGGTCCTGAGGGAGTGAGTACAAAGGATGGACTTTGGGGCCAGGATGTGGCACCCTATCAGACTCATCCAGAAAACACTCCTAAAGGTCAACAAACAGACCTTGAACTACTAACAGGCTTTTTTTTCTTTTTCTTTTTTTCTGCCTATTTGTTTTTTTCTTTTTTTCTCTTCTTTTAAAGTTTGTATGGCAGTGGCTCTTTTGTTTGTTAGCTTGTCAGTGCTGCTGCTGCC